CCAACCCGTGCAATTTGGACTTTAGCCCTCTCTGCCATTGGACAGAAGATAGAGCTAACTAGTGTCGCGCAGTATACCGATCAACGCTCAACTTTGAACGTTAACCCCTCTTATTGGACAAAGATAGGCAACTAGTGTTCAGATCACCCAATCCACGACTCGAGTCTTAGACCGCTGCCTCATTGGTGACAAAGATAGCAGATAGTGTCTCAGAACCATCAATTGTCAATCAACTTGGAATTTAACCCCTCTAATTGACACATAGATAGCCAACTAGGTGTTCTGCAGAACCAGCCGGACCTCAACTTGGATTCTGTAACCGCCTCTTTGAATTGTACTAAAGATTGGTTGGCGCAACTAGTGTCTCAGATCGCATCAACGCTCAACTTGACTTAGCCCCTCTCCATTGACAAAGATAGGCAACTAGTGTCTCAGACCACCAACCTCAACTTGACTTAGCCCCTCTTAATTGACAAAGATAGGCAACTAGTGTCTCAGACCTCCAACCTCAACTTGACTTAGCCCCTCTCCATTGACAAAGATAGGCAACTAGTGTCTCAGACCACCAACCTCAACTTGACTTAACCCCTCTTAATTGACAAAGATAGACAACTAGTGTCTCAGACCACCAACCTCAACTTGACTTAGCCCCTCTCCACTGACAAAGATAGGCAACTAGTGTCTCAGACCATCAACCTCAACTTGATTTAACCCATCTTAATTGACAAGATAGGCAACTAGTGTCTCAGACCATCAACCTCAACTTGACTTAACCCCTCTCCATTGACAAAGATAGGCAACTAGTGTCTCAGACCATCAACCTCAACTTGATTTAACCCCTCTTCATTGACAAAGATAGACAACTAGTGTCTCAGACCACCAACCTCAACTTGACTTAGCCCCTCTCCATTGACAAAGATAGGCAACTAGCGACGTTGCTAAAACGAGGAACAAGCGGAACAACCCAGTAACAAGCGGAACAACCCAGTAACAACCCAGTAACAAGCGGAACAACCAAGGAACAAGCAGAACAACCAAGAAACAAGCGGAAATGTGAATTAATTGTTTAGTAAATACCACATGGGGGCGTTTATAATCCAACTCTCTGAAGTTCGTGTGGGCTAGAACTAAGAGGATGTCAATCATGTCTTCGTCTGTTTCGGAGGCTTTGTGATTTTGCCAACGGACAGAGAGAATCTATCGACCCCGGATCGGGACGAAAAATAAATAGTAAAGCATGCGTATACATTCGATCACAACAGACACACTGTTGCAAATAGATGTGCATGCCATAGTGTAAATCTGTACATGTAGCCCTGTTGCAATAACATTTTTCAGGCCCGTCGGAGCCGGGGGCTGGGGGGGGGGTTTCTGAAGCCCCACCAATAATTGTCTTACTGTGGTATGTTTCCTTTATAACAATGTACTGCATGGGAAGGAATACAATGGGCAACCTCTTACAACTTATAATTTGGATTAAAGAAGAGGTTAACTTTCCGCCTCAGTTAAAATGATTCTAGGCAAACCATCAGTTTCCTAGTTCCTGGATTTTCCGACTTTTATCCCAAGACAGGGCCTGATTTTTCTTGTAGGCACATCAATGTCATTTTTCTCCCCAGGCGATTGAATGGCGCAATATC